TGAGAGCTATAGCATTTCAACGAGGCTCATCTACAACATGAACAGAAGCAGCGACATTCAACCCAACTGCTTCTTTCTAAGCGTTAATTTGGAACGAACACACAATACCGTAGTGGCAAGTATCCTGACATCTATTCTAAATGTACTGTTTTCTCTGTTAACATCTACCGGTAATGTGATCATCCTCCGTGTCATCTGGAAAAAACAAGAACTTCATTCGCCATCCTTCGTTCTTTTGTCCGGCCTCGCAGCTTCTGATCTCATTGTTGGGCTGGTTTGTCAGCCATCTTTCGTGGCCTATCACATCGCGGAACTCACGGATGATTTTGACGCTTACTGTGCCTTGAGAATTATTCAGAGCATATCTAGCTATACAACAATTGGCGTGTCCTTGGCGACCTTAAGCGGAATCTCCATTGATCGACTTCTCGCTTTAACCCTCCATTTACGATACAACGGGCTTGTCACTATTCGCAAAATAATGCTAACTGCTGTAGTCGTCTGGGTAGTATCAACCTCTGTCGTCCTATTGAGGTTTTGGATAAGCAATTGGTTTTTTGTCCCTGTAGCCGTTCTACTGATAACATTTCTCATTACAGCCCTCAGCACCTGGAAAATATTCCAGATCGTTCGGAGACATCAGCGCCAGATATCTCAGCAACAGCGGATTGCCCAAAGACGTGATGTGAACGTCCTGAAGTCCAGGAAATCGACCATAACTGTACTTTATGTTTATGGTTTGCTTTTACTTTTCTTTTTTCCACTTTTTGTGACGATCTTCGTGGAGTCGTTTACTGGATACACAACTAGAATGAAAATCGTTTATGACTACGTTACTACTGCTGTTTTCATCAATTCCTTCTTGAATCCACTTGTATATTGCTGGAGAATTGGAGAGATACGAAGAGCTGTTAGAAATGCACTGAGGAAAAACAATAACGAAGTCACCATTTTGGAAAGCACATTTCGATCAGTTTCAAAGATATAATTTTGTGCATCAATTGCAAATTTTATGAGTTCTGTGTGGTAAGAAGTATGAAGCAAACTACACTACCATTAATAATTATTCTTAGTCCATTGTACGTACACACGCACACTACTTATATATTAATTTGCTTTTTGCCATAAAATTTTCATTTCTTGTCACCATTATTCATCGCTATTGCCGACCATTTCCAATCAGAAATCAATAACAGTTCTAACGCTGGAGTGAGTCGCCTATCTAGTCGGAACAGTTGAAACGGAGAAAGTTTCGATCTCACTTGTTCTCTAAAAATTTGACAGTCAAACTCCTAATAACAACTTATTTCGTCACTTTTAAAATTACAGTCAATTTGAACATAAAGCCAACCTTAAGAAAACTTTTCTTTTTTCAGTTGGATCTAATATTCTATTGCGTGATTACGGTAATAGCTTTTGTCAATAGGTTCTGCAAATGCTAATATCACGAGCACTTGGCAATCACTAGTATTGTCGTGGTGCGACCTGAAAAGCCGAAACAAAAAACCATCATAGAATTATTAAGAGTGCCTTTTTTGACACCATTAATATTAAAATTTTAATTTTAATTTGCATGACGTTTCCAATGCTTTCAAAATTAATAATATCTACATGGAAAAGCTTGCTAAAGATTAAACCACCGAAAGCCCATATATTTCCTGATAAATAGACCATTTTACAGTTGTCTGCTCAGTGACCTGGCCTTTGTATGGCAGCGAGGCTAGAGTTGACCTTGTTTTGATACAGACCTCACTGCTTTTGTTGTGTAAAACAAGTTGTTCTGATGCCAACTAGGTGCATTTACATGACAAAAGCAGTGAGGTCTGTATCAAAACAAGGTCAACTCTAGCCTCGCTGCCATAAAAAGGTCAGGTCACTGAGCAGACAACTGTAAAATGGTCTATTTTAGTAAAAGTCGCAAAGTGTGACATGCCACTGTAGCTTGAATATTGGGAATACCTTGCTTTAATTCCTGAAGCTTGTGAACATTCACCTCTCGCTTAATTGGTAGCGAGGCAAATCAAAAGGACTAAACGATAAACACTGACTAAATCAGCTGCATCATAAACTCCCTGTACAGTAGAAAGAGCAGCGTAAATATAAAGTCGGATGGTCCTATTCATATTTCCCTAGTTCCAGACTGTTTTCCCTTTTCTCTTATCGAATATATATAAAATTTGGGTTGTTAATTAGGCGGCAACAGATCAGCTGTCATACAATCACCTGCATTTGTTTGTTTGTTTGTTTGTTTTTGTTTAACTTTTTGTGGAAGAACTTCAGAAAATGTGTTTTGGATTAATAATAAATACAATATTTCTTTTACAAAATTTATAACACTCCGATACCAATTTGCACGGGAAATTAACCCATGTTTTTGTTAGCTCTCTTTGAAGTCAATAATATATCAAACACGAAACATTGTGTTCACAGTTCCAAACACCGAGAAGAGAGTTGAAAATACGACGCGTAGCGGAGTATGTTTGATGAACTTCAAGGTGTTTGGAAATGTGGCTAAACACTGTTTTGAGTGTTTGAGAGATTTTCTCAAACGAAGCTAAAACTAACAAGAAAATGGAAAATTTTATGCTGATTAAGACAAGATATTCAAACACCGCCACAGTCATGATTTCCCCTGTTTAGACTTGATGAATTATCTGTGAGTTGGGAATATGTGGTCGTAAATTTTCTTCGTAGTTATTACGCTCGTAAAGCCTTTGTATTTCGTTTATCTTCTTCCTGAAACAAGGACGGTTAGGTTTCGAAATATTGAAAATGTGACGTAGTTATTTGTATTACTTGCTTAGTAAGTGTGACTGAGATAGAGACGGAGGTGAAATGACCGCCTACATTAAGGCCAAAGTACAAGTTCCACCAGCATTTCGAAACGTTTGGTAATTCAACATGCATCGCATTAAAATCCTTCCTACAAACACACAAAACAACACCCTGGTTAAGCCACACCCATCTTTCCGATGTCTGCTCAATTTCAAAGCGAAGTGCTAAAGCGGAAAAGTCGCTAATTTGTTTTGTTTTGTTTCTTTCTTTCAGTTTTTGCTCAGCGTATTCTTCACAGCTAGTCTTATTTCTGTTATTCTCCAACAGTACACTAGAGGATTTAAGCAGGGGTTAATGAAAACAGCAGGTGCTGTGTAGTTATAGGTGGTTTTCACTGTCAACGTATATCCTGTAACAGCTCGCATAATCATCGTCGCCCAAAAAGGAAGATAGAATATCATGAACAAACCATAAACGTAAAGTGCAGTCACAACTGATTTTCTACATTTGAGCGCGTTTATAGTGTTACACTCTGCTGCTGCTGAGATATCTGGCGCTGATGTCTGCGAACGATCTGAAATATTTTCAAGGTGCTCATGGTTGTGACAAGAAAACTTGTCACAACTATTGCAGCGGGAAAAATAAGCCACTGGCGAATCCGAAATCTTAGCATGACGATTGTCACAGATAACATCCATACAACAAAAACAGTTTGCAATACTCTTTGAACGGTTACAATGGCGTTGTACCGTAAATGAAGGGTTAAAACAAGAAGTCGATCAATAGAGACTCCACTTAAGATTGCCAAAGATGCGCCACTCGTTGTCCACCCAGATATGCTCTTAATCATTCTCAAGATGCAATAGGCACCATAGTTATTTGTAAGCTCGGCAATCTTGTAAGCCACGTAAAAAGGCTGCGTAAATATAATAAGTCCAACGAGAAGATCCGTAGCAGCAAGACAAAATAAAAAGATGAAAGATGGCGAATGAAGTTCTTGCGTTTTCCAGATGACATGTAGAATTAGAGCATTTCCAGTAGATGTTACGAGAGAGAACACTGAATTGAGAATGCATGTTAGAACGTCTGAAATATTTGTATTTTTGGTTTGTTCCAGATTTACGTCCAGAAAGAAGCAGTTCAGATGATGTGTTTTGTTCATATTGTAGATAGTTTCATACACAGCAATAGCTAGCACGCCTCATGGTATGCTGTAAATGATGCAGGATGAGATTTTTGCAGTTTACATTCGATTGTTATATTTAATTCATATATATATACTTGCTATATTGAATAATTACGTAGTCAGTTATGGTTTCTTTCGGTGAATTTATCGATCAATATCAGACTTGCGTATCCTGACATCAAAACATCACTCGATCAGATAATGATATTTTCGAGTCATTTCTTTTTAGCCAATCACAAAGTCTGACAATGAAATAATTTTAAAATATCCATCTGTCTAATGAATTATTTACGTCCAGTCAGTTAAATACAAGAAGTGCATTTGGCAAAATGTGAGCACTCAACTGAGGAAATGTGTAATAAATTATCTACGTCGACTTATTGTCAGCGCGTAAAAGTAGATCATTATTCTTTTCGTAGCCACAAGCCGCCTGATCGAAGCTTATTGTGGGCTGTGCAGGGGCACTTCTTGTGAAGCGTCTCCTACCGAAATTTTAGAAACCGTCTGGTTATGCCATGCATGCATGATCATCAGCTGTAAAAGCCTGGTCTTAAAACTGGAGCTAGAAGGCATTTCAATTGTAATCCTCTGTAATGGCTGAAATTCGTATGATGAATGACCTCGTTTAGCACAGTTAACTTAAGCTGTGTTACAGATATAGATTTAGTCAGGTCTAAAAGCGGAGCTCCTAAGTAATTCCAATAATTAACCCTAAAGGAAGAAGAGGATTTGTTTCTATTGGATCAGAAACTCATGTAACAGTTCAGCGTGTGGTTTCGCTATTTTTCTAGTTACATTTTGACAAACTACACCCAATAAGCGTACTCAAGATTGTAGAAATTAGGTACGCAATATATCAGGGACTTTTCAAGAGAAGATTGTGCAAGGACTATGTCGGGAGAGAAGTCAACAACACGCCAGGTTTTTTTTGGCGCCGAAATTTTGCCTTTACACCTACTCCCTCCTTCTCTCCCAGAGTAATAACCCGACTTGAGCTTGCCATCCAATGGAAAACCAGTACATGGTTAGCGGTAAACTATAAAAAAAACGCAATCTCGATGAGCTCCAAACTTATAAATAAATAAGGTCTTTACGAAAGGATCAGGCACAGCATACGTGCATGTGACTTTACAACCAATAATAAACTCTGTCATATGTATTACAAAATTATTTGAAGTTAATTAAAAAAGATATTAGGAAAGAAATTTAAAAAGACGTTTATTTGCAAAAGCCAGTTTAAACCGTTCAGTTGTTTTCACAGCTCTAGGGAGTATGAAGTCATGACCGTTATCTCTAAGAGCCCTGTTACGTTTAGGTGGAAGCAAGTCATACAATATATGATCAGTGTCACTG